GCCCGTGCGCCCGGGAGCGCGACCCTGCGCGGGGCGGGCGGTGGTGCTGAACGGACAGCTCCACGCGCCTCGCCGGGCGCCGCTGCAGCCCCGCGCTGGGAGATGTTGCGGCGACCCCTTTGCACCCGCAGCTCGGGGTGGGGCGGACTCCTTCCCCTTACTACCCCCCACACATCCCTGGTGACAGCTGTTGTTGCCACCACCCCCGGGGTGCAGACAGAGGGCTGCCTACGGTGACCTTTCCTGGTTGCGTCTGGAGACAGACTGGGACTGAGGGGCAGCTTGTGTGACCAGTGCAGGACAAAATCAGAGGATCTCTGGGTTTCCTCTTTTAGGGACCTGAAGAAAAGTTTTCCCAAGCCTGGGGGTGGGGTGCTGGGAACAGGAGCTGAAGGGGACAGGAGAAGAGGAGAGGTCAGGGTAGCCTGAGGTTGGCGAATTCAGCTTAGCGTGGGGATGGCGGGGGGGGGAGCGCGCCCCCCACTGGCGTGGGAGGGAATCGTGGAATTCTGTTCCCAAACTCTGCGTGGGCAGCGTGTGTGCAGGCCTGTGTGGCGCGTGGGCTGCGGGGGAGTGCACGGAGGGGTGGGTGTGTGTGTACAGTAGGAGTTTGCGGTGTCTGTGTGTATAACTCGGATTTTTTAAAAAGGGTGCGGAGATGCATACAGTGTGTCAGTGTAGGGGACACCTGGGACACGTGTCAGCAGGATGTGCGTGTGATGTGGCGCTGTGTTGACACAGCGTGGATGTGCTTCGTGCCTGAACCCCATTCCCGCGGAGACCTGGGGCCCAGACCTGAACTCTTGGTTCCCTAGGGTTGTCCTCAAGGCCTCCTAAGGAGCTGAGCTGTGAAATGAACCTGCAGTCCCGGGTTCCCCGCGCCTTTGCATGGAGAGAGAGAAGCACGTGCTCTGTACACGGCTCTGGCGCGCCATCCAGCCAGACAGCTGCTCTGTGCGGCCCAGGGGTGCTCGGAGCTCCTTGCAAGCCCTGGGCAGAACCCTTGATCTGGCTTCATGTAAGGACTCCTGGCTCCAAGCCTGACCCATCCCTGTGCCAACCGCTGGCCTCTGCGTGTGTGTGTGTGTGTGTGTGTGTGTGTGTGTGTGTGTGTGTGTGTGGTGTTACCCTCTGAAAGGGCACCACACCCATGGCCTCTGGCATTCCAGTGAGGCTGCCACTGTGGGAGGGAGAACAGCCTGGTAGGAGTCACATAAGCTTGCTTCTCTTTCTTTTATGTTTGATACTAGAAGTGTGTGTGGAGAGAGGGAGGGAGGGGGAGAGAGTCTGGCATTTGGTGTCTTTGTCTGCATATCTATTTCTATGGGTGTCTGTGTTCTGCCTGGTGCTCACCTGAGCCTCTGTCGAGGTCAGATGCTCTGTCATTTAAAGTCGGGGCTCCCCCGCACCCGGCTAGGCTGCAGCCTGGAGGCCTGGGGTCTCCTTCTGTGCCAGCTCTCGAAGAGGGGGTGCGCGTTTCCACCTGTGTGTGTGAGCCCTGCTGCCTCCTTCGCTCGGGCTCAGTCCCCTCCCACATCGTGGGGAGGGTGACTGTCAGGGCTCCCTGCCGCACGTGCCCTTGGCAGCGGCACCTGGGTGACAGCCTTCCCGGCCTTGCCAGTCTCTCTGGCCTCACCCGCCTCCTGCCTCGCGTTCTGGTCCCTGCAGCGCTCACAGCCCCTCCCATTCCCTGGCCTCTCCTTCTGCCTCTTCTGGTTGAACTGGGTGCAGAAATCACCTTCTCTTGGGGTATTTCGAGGGTCCCTCCTCCTGGATGTGCTTGGCTTTGATGGCTGTGGGGGTTTCTTCCCTCGCCTGCTTTATGCACTGGCCTGCTCCTTTTGCTCTGAGCTGTTTTTGTTCTCGCTCATCCCTTTTCCTTTTGCGGTCATGGGAGACTTTGCCCATGGAGAGAAAGCCCCTCTGCCTTCGGTCTCTCTGTCTCTCCCAAGCCTGCAGCCACCCTGACCACACTGCTCTGGGCTCTGCTGGCTCCTAGGACCTCCACCTCCCATCGGTCTTATTAGGGGCACCCCATTCCTCTCGGCTCTGTCCCATCATTCTCTGCTCCTGCCACCTGCCAGCTCCTACCTCTCCCTTCACGTCCCCTTCCCCTGAGTCCTTCCATGCTCCACGCTACAAGACCCCTTGTCCACAGTTGTCCCTTGAGGCTAGGGTCAGGGACAGGCCTCCATGCCCCCTTTCCTTAAACATCAAAGTGGGCTCAGAGACTGTGGGGAAAGCCTGAGTTGGGGGCACATCGGTTATTTCTTGGAAAGGCTGAGGCAGAAGCTCTTGGGTCTGACAGATGCCTTTGCAGAAGGTTAAGTGTATGTGACAGGCAGAGCCACTTGTTTATTTCCCAGTCAGAACACTGAAAAGAAATGGAGCCGTCTCCCTCCTTCCGCACCGGGGAAGCTGGCTCTGTTTATGGTTTATTTAGAGGTCTGAGCCCTGATCTTAAAATATAGCCGCCTGCTCCTGCGCATGGCAAGGCTTGCTGGGGAGAAGGCGAGGGGGTGGAGAGGTGGGGGAGAGGCACGCTGGGAAGGGGGATGGGGGGACCCCAGGCAGTGGCCCGGATCCTTGCACCTGGGTAACTGCTTTCTCTGCCTTCCCTGCCGATGCAGCTCTCAGCTGAGCCCACACATCTCAGACTCAGCTCTTCCCCCCTGACAGGCGAGGGGGCTGCCTTGGCGGCTTGGCAGAAGGAGCTAGGCTGCCTGACCTACATTCCCCGCTCAGGGGAAAAGCGGTCCCCGTCGTTCCCCTGGAGTGTGGTCACAGGGTGGCTGTGACCCTGCTGGAGTGGACTGTCCACTTGTGACCATCTGGCTGCCACCAGCCGCCTCCCACTGCAGCCTGTCTCTTAAAAACCTGACCACTGCTCCTAGAAGCCCTCCAGGGGCTTCCCCTGCGTAGAGAAAGAACATGCTTCCCACTGCGAGGAGACCTTCCGCGATGCGCCCCTGCCCAGCTTGCACACTTGGACCCCGCAGAGGACCTGCCCACTTCTGCTCTTTCTGCTGGCCCGGGAGCCTCACGGGCGGGCTTCTTCCTGTCCCTGGGATCTCGGTGTGAATGTCATCTCCTCCTTACTGCCCGGGCTAACCTAACCCCTGTGCTGACTTCAGCAGCACACTCATATTACCTAGTTACTGAGTACATGGTTGAGTGATGAATGAGGGAGCCTCCAGTTGCAATCTTCAGTTATTCTGCACCAGCCAGTCTTGGTTCCAGCTCCTCTCCCCCCTGGTGGATCAAGAAGTGCCCTGGAGGAAGAAGGGGTGCTGAGCCTGGGGCAGTGCTGTGGAGCCCCCCAGGCTCTGGGGGTTCTTCTCAGAAGGAATGAAATCTAGCAGCCTAGTGAATCTCATCCTTAGTTGTACACTGGCGTCACCCAGGGAACTTTTCAAATGGCCAATGTTCCTAGATGCCTTGGGCCTTGCACCAGACCAATTAAGTTTAATTTCTGGTGGAGGCCATGGTAAGTCAGTGTTTTCCTAAAGCCTCCTCTGTGATTTCAGAGTGAGACCATGGTTGGGAGCCTGACAGCTGTCACTGGGGGCGTGGACCCAGAGCTGTGTGCTCACAAGCTGGCACCCAGGGGTCAGCACCAAGGGCAGGGCTGTGACTCAGCTCGGTACACAACCACCCACTGCCGCAAATCTTGGGGCAGTGCCTGCCTGCAGTGGGAGCATCACAAAGGCCTTCGTCATCACCTCCTTCAGTCGCTGCCTCCAGAAGGGATCCCCGTGCCTGCTGCTCTCAGAAGCTTTTACCTTAGAGATAATTACGTCGCAGTTAGGAATAGTCATCATCTCCTCCTTGTAAGGAGCTCAGCTGCTCCGCTTTTGGGATGCAGGCAGCGGTAAGGTGGATTGAGGACGAGGCTTGTCTTGATGGGTGTCCAGTGGAGGGGATGCAGAGGAGCTGCAGCGGGTAGAGGCAGGCCTGGGAGAGACGGGGACCCACGCTAGGGAGCCCATGGGGGGAACTGGGGAG